AAGGATAGAGTCTTTGGTGTCAGGACTGTATCTTTGATAAGTCCTACTTAAGACTTCGGATTGCTCTTAGATTTGGTATAATAGGAGAAGGTAGAGATGAAATGGTAGCTGAAAAAAAGAGCCAGTGCCTACATACATCTTGCTAACTACCCCTGTATAAAATAGTTTACACTGCAGGAGATTAATAGATGTAAGAAGTGTGATTGCACGAAGCACTACTGTGGAGACTAGAGGGGAAAGGAGAAAAGTGCAGTTCTAATGTTGGGCTGCATCTCCCTAAGGTACGCTGGTGAGGGTTGTTGCAATCCCACAGCATTTGGAGGGCTACACTTTACCCTCAAGATTTTCATCATCATCATCAACTTAAAATGGCATAGCTAGAAAGGATCTTGAAAGTCCAGCCCTTTTCAATGAGACGCAGTGAGGAATCAACCTCCTATCCTCTGGCTCTGCAGCCAGATACCTAAACCACTGCTCCCATCATACTTCACTGGCTGGCTAAAATTGACGGGAACAGGAATTCAACCACCTGTGAAGTCTCAGATGTCCTTTTCCACCTTTGCCTCAGTCTCCAGAGGCCTGGGGCCACGTATGCCCTTCTCCCAGCATTTGAATATTGCACCCATGCATCTACCCACTTCTGTGATCCTATCCTCTTAAAAATTATTTTTTAAATTGTTTTTTAACTGAAAAAAATGTCCCCATCCCCTCTAATGGCCAAAAAATATATATTTTGAAACATAAATCAGAATTTTGTCGGTGGCAGCACCCTCAAAACAAAGCAAAATAATTCCCCTCATTTCAAACAAAAACTTCTATAAAGTATAAGGGGTGTGTGTGTGTGTGTGTGTGTGTGTTTGTGTGTGTGTGTGTGTGAATGTGAGTGTGAGTGTGTGAGTGAGTGAGTGAGTGAGGGTGCAGGGGGACTATAGGGTTTTAGATTTAGAATTCTGGGGGCAGCACATTGCCCATCCCTGCTGTAGTGACAACAATCACCTTCTTACAAAGTACGAAGAGACAGGCAAGGCTGTGGAGCTTAGATGAGAAAACAAAACTGTTTGTCATATTAGCCATGACAAAGGTATGATAATATATGAGACACAGGTCCTGCAAAACAATTGGGTTCTATGTGTAATGAGGAAATAGTCAGTTTATGTAGCTGTTACCGCAAACCTGCAATTGCCCAATCTATAAACCAACAGCAAATTTATCTGGAGAGGGGGAAACAGTACATGCACAGTGGATGGATATCTAAACAATTATCTGAACCCAGTTCTCTGTCCGGTGCAAGCTCAACACCATAATCTGAACATGGAATAACATAGTTTCTCCCAACCTGGCAGCTACTCAAGTGTAGTAGTTTATTGTCTTATATCCCTAGCCTAACGGGAGTTGTAGTCCAGTTCTTCTGGTTGGAGGAATTATTCAACCTTTTTCACAATGCCAGGCAATGTGGTTTAATGAAGAATCAGTAGATTTAAGATGTAAATTAAGAAAGGTAATTCTACTTACATTCTCTCCCACCCCATAGTCCAATTTTGCACAGTTTCCCCATCTTCAGGCCCCTCTTATTAGAACACAACCCAGCTCTACATCTCCTTTTCAACAACTGCAGGTGATGCCATCCTGTCCCTCCAGCGCTGCCTGGGGGCCGTACTGCAGTGGATGCAGGAAAATGGGCTGAGGCTGAACCTGGACAAGACAGAGGTTCTGAGGGTGGACGCCCTTGGAGTTGGTGGCCTGGGTGGCTATCTCACATTGGGGGGGGGTAACCCTGGCTGCTAAGAGTGGGATTCGCAGCCTGGGGGTACACCTGGATCTGACGCTCACCATGGAAACGCAGGTGGCGTCGGTAGTTCGCACCGCCTTTTTCCACCTTTGGCAGATTGCCTGGCTGCGACCCTACCTTGACATAGGGGCACTCACTACCTTGGTACATGCGCTCGTAATCTCAAGATTAGACCACTGTAACGCGCTCTACGTGGGGCTGCCTTTGAGGCTGATGCAGAAACTTCAAGTGGTGCAGAATGCAGTGGCCAGACTCCTTACTGGAGTGAGAAAACACCAACATATTTCTCCTGTTCTGGCCGAGCTGCACTGGCTGCCCATCCGTTTCCGCATTGAATTCAAAGTTCTAATGCTTACCTATAAGGCTCTAAACGGTTTAGGACCTCGATACTTGGCGGAGTGCCTGTTCCCACCAAGATCTACTCAGATCACCCACACGAGTCAGGAGATGAGGCTGAGGAGCCTGACACCGAAGGAGGCCCGGAGGGAAAAGACTCGAAGCCGTGCCTTCTCGGCGGTGGCTCCTCGCCTTTGGAACAACTTTCCTCGGAGATTCATGAGGCCCCTACGCTTTCAAATGCCAGCTGAAAACATGGATGTACATCCAGGCCTTCCCACCTGTCAACTACTGATTTCTTTCGCTTTGCTATTTATTATTTATTTATTCCTGCACTATTTGTTATTGTTGTATGCTAATGTTTTTATGTTTTTTAATTGTTCTGATATTCTGTAAGCCGCCCAGAGTGGTAGAATATACCAGATGGGCGGGATATAAATCGAACAAACAAACAAACAAATAAACAAACAAATAAATAAAATTTCTTTCAAGGATTTGCCCCTGTTTAAAAAATGCAGCTTAGTGAACTACTTGGTAACTTTGTATTTGATTCTTTGACATATAAGCATTAGGTTTCCACAACATCAGAGGAAGCAGAAACACTCAGAATGCTTAGGGTCATTGATTTGGCTGGCTCAGAGTACTGGCTTAAGCAGAGGATAAGATGGTGTGGACCTAGGCAAACTAACTTGAAGGAAACTTGCATTTTACTGCAATACCTGTGGTGATGGCATAACGTCCTTCATATAACTTGTTTATAGCAGAGAAGCTTAGCAGGAGGGCAAATGATCTGTATTGGTTCAATGAGGGCAACAGTACGGGAGCTGTCAAATCCTCAAAGGATGTCCAAAAATCTACAGAAGGCCACTTTTCAAGTTATCTCCAGCTAGAGTTTTATAAAATTACTGTAGTTACAATCCAGGATAAGTCAAGAGGATCAAGCCTAATGAAATTAAGGAAGAAAATTAAGGATCATATTATAGGCATATTTTAAGAAGTTAGACTATGACCAGTATCTCTTGTGGAGCTCTGCCAGGAGAATAGACAATGGAAGCAATGGATTGCTGCTCATTAAAGAGGGGGTTCCACCCCTCCCCCAGGGTACACGTGATAAGATGAATGCACGTCCTGACATTGAAAAAGGAACTCTAATGAGCAGCAGTCTGCTACTCCTCTCAGTGATGTAATACTCACTCTATAAGTAGACTTCTGCAATAGGATACTTGCCTATAATACCTATTATACCATCCATGAAATGTCTTGAATATAAAAAATGAATTGGGCTGACTCAAGATAGGTCTACAACAAAGGGAAAGGCGGTACTCATCTTTCCATTACATGGGTAGAAGATGAGTGGATGGCAGTTGAACTCCAATTCCTCATGGAGATAAGATTTTCTACCATTCCTGTGAATACCAGGCCAATTTAAGCATTGCAGGACAAGCTGTGGCATGCATAGCTCTGTCGCCCAAGAGAGGGGAAAGACTAGGTGATTGTAGTGTACGAGACGTGCAGCTGCTGCTCCCAGCATCCACCGCCTGAGACATTTCCCTCACTCTGGCTAAGGGTAAAGTTGCCCCTAATCTTAAAAAGAGGGACGTGGTGGTGCTGTGGGCTAAACCGCAGAACCTGTGCTGCAGGGTCAGAAGACCAAGCAGTCATAAGATCGAATCCATGCAACGGAGTGAGCGCCCGTCGCTTGTCCCAGCTCCCGCCAACCTAGCGGTTCGAAAGCATGCAAATGCAAGTAGATCAATAGGGACCACCTCGGTGGGAAGGTAACAGTGTTCCGTGTCTAAGTCACACTGGCCATGTGACCATGGAAGATTGTCTTTGGAGAAATATTGGCTCTATGGCTTGGAAACGGGGATGGGCATCGCCCCCTAGAGTCGAACACGACTGGACAAAAATTGTCAAGGGGAACCTTTACCTTTACCTTAATCTTAAAAATCAGTCTTCATGGAGATGGACTTGCTACTTCTAAAGCAACTCCAAGGAAGAACAAGCGATGCTAGCAAGTGGAGATGTGAGGGTTGCAGTGCAAATGTCTTCTTCTGCAGCTTTACTAATGGACACCAGACAAATTAGATAAAATTATCATTATTTCCCCCCAGAATTGGCAGAGAAATACAGCTTTACTCTTGAGATGGAGACCAAAGTAGGAGGGCAAAGGACCAGGACGGTTACTCCCTCCATGTATGGCAAGATAATGAACATTCCAGCAGCAGTGGCATTGCCTGGATGGGAAAAGATGAGAGTGATGGTGGGAGTATCCCTTTCCCCCAGAAGAAGAAAGGAGCACCCACAGCCATCAGAGGCTGGCTGTTTTTAGCAAGATGCTTCCTCAAATTCTGGTTCTGAGGTCCTCAAAGCCAGGACTTACAAAGAATGGCTAGAAAAACTGCCGGTGCCACACCCCACCACCTGTGTCAACTGCCCAAGTAAGGCTAATGGTAGGGTTGACTCCAACTCTGACGGATGTCTTTCTCACATGGTGATTGCGTGTGCACCAAATGCCAGAGCCCAGACAGAGGCATTTACCAATGGCAGATTTTTGCTGTCTGAAAATACAATGGTACCTCTTATTTCTATGTACAGAAGTAAACTGGGCTGACGGTGGACTTTTCCTTTGACACTGGACAGCATCAGAGGAAAGTTAACAGTAGGATAAGCCCTGAAGGAAGTTCAGTGTGAAAACATATGATCCAGACTTTCCAAGTCACACAATCCAAAAGAAAAGAACACAAATGAGACTTTCTTTCCCAGAGTATGCATTATTTAAGTACGGTGCCGATGTGTGCATGCATGTACACCTATCAATACAGCTTTGTGGTAGTTTATAACCAAATAAAAATAATATACCATTTGCTTTTACCTGATGAAGGTGGTCTTCCCAGTGGAATACTGTCCCACAAGCAGGACCATAGGCTTGTTGTCAAAATCTGCATTCTCCAAGGCAGGTGAGTGAAACTCATGGAATTTATAGTGCTCTTCCAGAGGGAGAAGCTTGGTTCTGTAGAGCTTTTTAAGACCCTCGCTCACTGTCTGAAATACTTCAGGGTCTTTCCTTCTCCTTTCGTCAAGACCCAGCCAGCTGAACATTTTGCAATGACGGAAATAATATTACTGTTTGCTCATTTTCCTTGGAAAAGTCCAGTCACCAAGGAGAGCGGGAGGGGAAGCTTGCACTCCAGACAGTTTGCTAGCACTTGCATGGAAGCTTCCAAGCCGTAACTCTAAATATAGTGATTGTATATCTTCCTTCCGTCCTTCTTTCCTTTCTTTCTTTCTTCTTTTTTTTTTAAAGAGAGAGATACAGTCACTTTATTGATTGCTGTCCCATCAGCCTATAATACAAAACAAGAAGACGACTCGAGAAACAGCAGGCATTGATTCTGGTTACGCATGCTTACATCTCCACATTTTTCTACTGAAAAACAAATACCCTAAGCATACAGCATTAAAAGAGGAGTAAACTCCCTTTGCTCTTACTGTGAGACAATTAAAAGAAAACAAAATAGGTTGCAGTGCTGGACTTGCGTCTAGCTTTCTAAGTGGAGAGCAAGAAACTGATCTCATCACAAGAGAGGCAGCTGAATCACAGCATCTTCCTTCTTTGTGAAGCAGCTGGTGTTTAAATGCCTGTCTTTTGTGGAGCTGACCAGGAAACGGAAATTGTAGAACAACTGCGGGCAATGTTCAAATTGATGCCGGGGAGAGTAATAGCCAGTGGCTGGTGCTTTCAGTTGTCTGTCCAAATGGAAGATCCAGGACAATGGTTTTCAGATAGCAGTCACAATCATAGATCAAAACTTCCATTAATCATAAGATGCAGAATCATCAGCAACCTAATCAATAAGCAGAATCACACTGCAGATTGTCTACACTTATTTCAGGTAGTTAGAAATGGGGTAGGACCACAGGAGAACGAAACAGAAAATAGCAAAGATAGTAAGAAAGTTATGAATGAGTGCACAGTGCAATGACAATGACAGAAACAAAGAAAGCCTATGAATTTTAATTTCTAAACTATTATTTATTTCCAATATTTGGGCATGTTCCAAAATTAAGTACAGAAAACAGAAATCTAACAAACACAGAAGACACATAAATACAGCCGTAAAAGTAAAATACTGTGTCAATAAAATCATCTGTAAACAACAATCAGGAAGAAAGCAATAAGGGTAGTGGTCAAATTTGCTTTAAAAGTGGCATCCAGTAGGGAGCAAGCTGGAAAAGGACAGTATTCACTTCCTACTGAAAGGTGAGTAGTGACTGAATCAAATGAAACCCTCTAAAAATGATCAAATTCTTATTTATTTAATTTACTGGGTATTTATTCTGTAAAGCTGTATATTTTGGTGTTTTTTTAAAAAAACAGATTGTTTCATTTACTTCTGTAGGTCTGTGTGGGCCAAGGGATGGGCTTTTTGACTGTCCCTGTGTGTCTCTACACTTGTGGGGGGTGGTTGTTGCTGGTTTGGCACAGCTTGGACCAGTTCTCTCTTGCTCTTGGTGTTGTGTTGTTCCTTTCTGGGTGCCTCTGTGTGTATCCTCTGTGTGTGTCTTTCTTTTTTTCTATTGTGCTACGGAAGCTGAGAGAGTCTTGTTGCGCTGTGCGGATGGCAGTGAATTCATATGGTTATTTTTCTTAATGTTTGAATGCTTTACTGCTTTTTGAATTACTTGCTGGGTGAGTGAGGTATTTTTCACATAGGCCTGGCTGATGATTTTTCTTTCTCACATTGCCTGCTTTTGGATTAGATTGAGTCTCTGTTGCCTTGCCCCTCTAATTTTCTGGAGTGTTTTAAAGAGTTCAGTAGGGTTTTTGACATGCCAGGAATTTTCTTTCATGAAAGTCCAACCTAAGACAAAAGAACCTGAAAGAGGCTTTCCCTTTCATTTTAAACTAAAGGATTGGTGCCTGAGAAAAATGAAAATGAACAAAAAATGAAAGAGGCACTTGCAAGAACCCAAAATGGAAGAACAACAAAAATGTTCACCACGCACATCCTTATTGATGAATTAACTTCCATTAATTTATCTGTTCCTTTTAGGTCTCTCCAAATTGACAGCCACCATCTTGTACCAGTGAATTACACAGTTTATAAATGTGCTCTTTAGGAAGGATTGCCTTATAAATTGTGTGTGTGTGTGTTATAAATACAGTATATGCAGCAGCCTACATAGAAACCTAGAAAATGTAATTAAATCTTATTTTAGAAAGAGGTTTTGCACAACTAAAACACTCCATACATCAAATGAGGTTGGTCACAATCCAAAACAAAACTTATCCATACTAAAATTTGTTGCAAAGCTTGAAGACTTATATCTAAGAAGCCAAAAATAGTATAATTATCTTAAATTTCCTTTTAGTTAGTTAATAGCATAATTATCTTGAATTTCATATAATTTTAAATTGTGCCTCACTCTGATATGACTAAAGAAACAAAGATCTAAGAAGAAGGAATATAATGATACATTGAAGCAGTTCATAACTGCAAGTGGCAGTATGACCTTCTGGAACTCCAGCAAACATCCTACCATTAGTCAGACTGAGGTGAATAGTGCCAGCTTTGCTTAGGGATGCTGGGAATGTTCCTCCCAAGGTTATTCTGTTTTTTTTAAAAAAAGATTAATAGGTATTAGTTAATAAAAAATTTCTGCATCCCTAGATGGTAGACACCCCTAATTTTCCCTTACCATGTATAAGTGGTAGACAACGTTCCTCAATGCCACATGAAGACATTATTGCTGCACAGACAGATATTATGTGGCAGCCCAATTCAGTATTCCATAAGCAAATTCAAAAAATAGTTGTGCCACAAGCAAAAATTGGTAACTGAAAATAGGCCTTGGACTTACACCAATTTTGGCACAAATGTCACAGATAGTCTACGCTTGCTGTGTGCCAAATTTGGGGACATTTGAGAAAATGGTTTTTGAGCTTTGATTATTTCAGTACAAGCTACCAGTCAGAACAAAATTAAATGACTCTCAGGAGAACTTTTTAGTTCCTTACTGGCCAAACAGACATTAAAAAGAGTATTTATTTCTCATGTAAAAATGTTTTAAAAGATATTTTAAAAACAGAAAATAAATATACAGAAGGTCATTCGCTGAAGCTGTGAAATTATTGTTTTTTGCTCTGTGGCTGGGGATAATCTCAAAGCAAGGTTTATCCAGCTTACTTCTGCGTAGAGATGGGGGTATTTGTAAATGAATACGAATATCTCCAGCGCAGCTGGACTTAACGAAGGTCCAGTCCCTGGGGCCGGACCATCCACTCATGTGTCCAGCGGCAGCAGCAGCCTTGGTCAGCCTTCCACTCAACGCTGGAGCACCACTCTCTCCCCACTCATCTAGCCACTCAGCAGCCATGCAGGGAGACTCATCCTCACTCCCTCCATCCTGGAGTTGGCTGGATGAGTGAAAAGAGAGTGGAAAGAGAGGGGCGCTCCAGGAGTGACTGGAAGGCTGACCGAGGCTGCTGCTGCTGGACTCAGGGGCTGGACCCTTGTTAAGTCCAGCTGTTTACTCAGTTTGCTCACAAGTAAGTGTACTCACAGCACCAGCAGCCATGGAAAGCTGCAGCATGAAGACTGAACACTGGAAGGAAAGCTTCAAACACAGAAGGGAAGTATTCTTTCCCCCCGCTTTCCTGTCAGCCAGGCCTCTTCCTTTTTTAAATTTCAAAAGCAAAGGGAAATATTTTGGAAAACAGGCACACCATTGAGCTCTTGGTCCAATATAGCTTTTCTTCTTTGGCCTTCATGACTCATAGAAAAGGTTTTGAAATTGGAACATAGTTTTCTAGTCTGCATTCTGCAGGTTGAGCATGACAGTACTAGTTGACGTGAGAGGTTAAAGGGTGTGTATATCTCAATTGCACGTGTTGTACCTACTCATTCCTTTGCTTCACCATTTCACAAATTCCAAAACAGTCCTTCAAAATATTTTGGCGCAGAGAGACTGCAGCCACATCCATTTCTTCTCCCAGTAACCATAGTGCAAATCATGTGCTCATTTTCTGGAATCCTGTAACACTGGGAAATTGTATATTTGCGAAATCTATGTTGGAATTTGTGGGTAGTGTATGTATATTTAAACTCCCATTTAAAAAAAATTAGGAAATGCAATTCTTCAAAAAAATATCTCTGGTTATGAATGTGGGATATTGTGTTTCTGTACCCACTCCAGTACCATTCACACTTGTTGAAAAACAGCCCCTTGTCTGCTGCCATTGGTGTTGTGAACATTCATGCTGCCCTTTGGTATGTAAAACTTGGCATCCTTTTTCTGCTGGTAACACCTTTTTGAGTACAGAATAACAAAATTCCATATTCATAAACTGGAGTGGTGTTTTTTTTGAGGGAGTGAAATTTATTTTATGTCAGCCACTTGCGTGTATTATCCAGCTTGTTATGTATTGATTGCATCAGCTCATTTGTCCTTGCTGGCTCAGTGTGGGGTTCTGATTAATCAGGAAGTGGGTCACTCTGGCACCCCACAGACACCAGTCTACCTGCTGATGTGTTCACTGGAGTTCTGAAACAAAAATTAAGATTGATTAGTACCACATGGTTTTCTAGAAGTATGGGCTTTACTTCAGGATCATTACTCAAACGAACAATCAAATAGCTGCACTGCACATGTTACCTGAAAGACTGTTATCTCCCCATATGAGCCTTCTTGGTGATTAGGATAATCAGAGGAGACCCTTTTCTTGGTCCCATTGCCAGCACAGGCATGGTTGATGGGGACACAAGAGAGGGCCTTCTCTGTGGCAGCTCCCAAGTTATAGAATGCTTTCCCTCAGGAGATCAGGCTGGAGTTGCTAAGAAATTAACACACCCTGTGAGGCAATATTCCAGGTCTTCCTTCAACCTTGTCTCTAGATAAAATTAGGGGTTTCTACCAGCTAGGGATGCAGAAATTTTTTAATTGACTAAAATGTATTAATCCATTAAATACACACACACACACACACTAACCTTGGGAGGCATATTGCCAACATCCCTAAGCAGGACTGGCCCTACCATTAACCAGACTGAGTTGAATCAGCCAACTATCTCCATAGTCACTTTCCCACTGATTATATTGGGTGTTGCTGTTTTTTAATTGTTAGTGTTATATAAGGATATAAGGAGCACTATTTTTCTTAAATGCATTCTTGTCTCATTGTCTGATTACGTTTCTTTTGTGCAAGCTTTTGTCCTCATTTATTCCCATTTATACTTCCTCCACACTGCTCATTAATCATCTTGGCGATCTTGTGTTCACAAGGAAACATTGGATCCTGTTGTGTTGACAGCAAAAGCTTAAAAAATGCCATGAGGGAGAGAGCTGGATGACGTTAATTGGCAAAAGTTAAATCACCCTCATATTTTCCACCAATACCTGTCACAAAAGAACACATTCTTTTTTGGAAAACTATATACTATAGTATCACAGATACTGTACATGATAGCAGTTTCACAAGAAAGACTATGTATAGGATGCATTTGAAACCACATTAGTTATCACTATCAGCAAACTCTGACATAGCAAATGTTTTATAATCTTTCACTGCTGGAATAATGAGACTGAAGCTTTTCCTTAGGGAAGGAAATGTAGCACACTTCTCAATCATGATT